AACTCAATTAAACTTTATATTTTAATTAAATTAAATTATACTCAATTAAACTATATATTTTAATTAATTTATTATGAAATAATTAAAAAAATCCCAGAAAAAAACAATCCAGAAAACTAAAAAAAAATAGAAAAAATCAAAACCCAAAATAAAAAAAACCAAAAACCAACCCTCAAAAAACGGATACCCGAAAAAAAAACATGAAATTCAAAAAAAAAAAGCAAAACTGATAAAAAAAAAAAAAGAAAACCCGAAAAAAAGAGAAAACCCCCCAAAAAAAATCAAAAATTTCCGCATATTTTTATTTAATATTTAATTTAGTTGTCAGCATATTAGCATATATCGGACTTTAACTTCTCAGATTTTATAGTCACACAGAATCGCGCTCGACCCTAACGGGCCGATAGTGATATGGAAAATAAATCGTAAATAAAAATCCATTAGATGTATTACTTCTTATATTGCGCTGGCAGGCCTCTTCTTGCAGGTTCCAAATCTATAAATTATGAGATAAATAAACAATATGTATAAACACAAAATAATCCACTATCTATGATAGGCACTTACCAAGATGACTCCGCCTGTGGTTTCTTAATTTTGTAGAGCGGAGCTCATGCAAAGGCATAGATTTTTGTGAATCTAGCTTGGGGTGAGAAAAATTTTGCAGTTTTTTGTTGCACCTTTTAACATTATCCACAATTGGGCGAGCATTATCTAGAGTCTCTGATACATCTAAATATTCATCAAAAAGGGTACCAAACTTCCTATTTTGTTTGATTGTTGTCGTGTGTATAAAAAATACTACGCTATGGCGAATGCCAACAGTGACAGAAAGATTTCCATGTACCAAAATATTGGATCTAAAAGCGATGGCATGCCCCTGTTTCGCATAAATTATTAGCTTCAACTCTGGAAATACCAGTTGTCCACCTTCATAGGAACCAAGGGGACACACGACACAAAGTGTATTTCGATGGTCTTTCAAATCGCGGTGAAATTGGCTAATTACGTTGAAGTTAACCGCAGTTGTTGGAAAAGCGCCAAATAACTTAGGGACATTTGGGCCTAGATCGAGCTTTGCCATTTTCGCATATAAATCGGGATATGTTTCTCGAAAATAAATATTAACAGTTTTAGATAGCGGTTGAAGACCACTTATTAATTCGCGGACACATTTCCGATGTTCTATACAATGATCTGATGCAGTATTCGCAGTTGTATACGGTTCGTTGTTGTTACCTGTAAAGGCGCCGAAATGTTCCACTAATTCCTTCCTAAATTCTTTCGATTGATGCTTTTTATTATTAAGGTTATGAACGTAATACTCATCTATAACAACTCTCGTATCTTCTGCGACTGTAGGATTGGCCAGATCAAAAAAGTCTACCACCGTTTCACCATATGAATTCTTGAAGCATTGTGGATTGAATACATGGTAGTAACCTTCAAAATTACCCCCAATTGCAACGTTCCCGGTGGCTTCATCAGCAATCTCTAGTTTTTTCTTTATTGTTTGGTTAAATGTTTTCGGAATATTATATTCTTCACATATTTTTTTCTCAGCTTCAAGGTGTGCATGATTTACATCTGACCAAAGGAGATGGCAGTGATGACGAAATCGCTTATTAAAATGGGAGACCTTTGTAAAGCACGCCCATATCCCAAACTCTCTCCACTGTATCAGTTTCGGATCAAAAGGACCCTTGTTAAAAACCTCAGACTCTAAAAGCGCCATAAATTGTATAGGAATTTCAGAATTATAGGATGGTATTTGTTGGATAGTTTCAGGTGGCAAAGATTTTGCGATATAGGTATTCTGGTTTATGTCTTTTATAGACAACGATCCATCTTCTAATAACCTTTGGGTAATTAACCTCTTTTGCCTTCTTTCTAGAAACTTCTCAATAAAAGTAAACTTCGGATCAATTAAAGTCTGGGGTTGTGGATTTTTATCTGATTTAATGTCGTTGTGCTTTGGCCTGCCAATAAGATCGCTAGAAAAAAAATCTTCCGATATCCATTGGGTTCGAATATATTCTCGAGTCTCACTATCAGTAGATTCTCGGGTGATCGATTGAGTTTTGTGCTAATAGTATACCTCATTATGAATCAGAAAATTGTAAAATTTAACACGAACATCTTGATTACGCAGAGGTAGAACTTTCGAACTATTTCATGTCTGTCACTCAGTTAAGCGGGAAGCTAGTTCGGACTCCCTCCACTTACTGATAAGACAATCGTAATCCGACTATTCACCCCCAAAATATACACCTAACATACTTTTTCTGGGTCGTAGAATAACTGAGTTCTATAGAGACTACGGCGGGTATCATTGCTGTCATGAGTGAGGATTTCTTCGTCTACGTTGGGTGTATTCATGCTTGCTAGTTTTCCGTTAATTCCTCCTTATGAATTATACGTGGTATATACAATAACTCAAGTGTATTAACTAATAGGCGGAAAAATACGAAAGAAACACTACTCGATGAGCCGTTAGGATTTTATTCCTAGAGCCGATGTCCTACTCAAAACGAATAATGTACGCTTTCGCAGAAAAAAGAAGCGTGGGTAGCAGAGATGGATAAGTGGTACAACATGTTAATCAGGTATGTATTTATGTGTTAATGCATGATTGGCTGTGCGATAGAAACTTAAAAAATTTTTTATTGTCGATCGGCTATTTTCGCATGCGCGCAGTATATTATCGAAAAAACGGCCATTTGCTTTATTTATACAATAAAAAATACATGTGAATCGGGAACAGTCTACCAATCACTTTTTTGTTCGGTATCCTTCTATTCTGGATCGTTTACTCGCTGGCGATTTTTCAACACACTTAACAAATCAACAACTACACCTAAAACCTTTTTCACGCCGTTATATAGTGCCAGATATTCGTTGGAATCTTCTTCTAAGGCATCATCGGTAAATCCGATGCTTAACGGTAATTCCGCTTGCTATGCGTTCCTTAATGTGATCGTCTTAATCCATTGATCGTGCGTAACTACGTCCCTCGAAGGTAATACAAATTTCCGCAATTTTTGAACGTCATTCCTCTTTGATATAAATTCATTGCATATATTCTTTACCACGACATCTTTGTTCAAATTTCTTTTACGTATTAGCCTTCTCACTCCATTAAGATTAATATATAATACGTAATTATCTTTAGCCGTGCCAATTCCACCGATACAATTCCCCCATACAAAAAAGTCTTATCAGTTACTCCGATCTCAGAACCAATAACATCTACTTTGTAAAGAAAAATAAAAATATTATATACGTACAACAAGAGATTCGTAATCCCTCTCCGGAATATTATATTTATCTGAGCTAAGATCGATTACTCCAATACATATCGGGTCGCGTTTGATAATTTATCGACATTTATATTGCTTATTTTTGTAAAAATATGTTCATGTGGTGGTGTATCTTTCTTCTAATGAATCAAAAGGAGAGTTAGTTTTACGAAAAAATTCAAGTAATAAATAATTGATTACCTTGATTTTATCTTTCAAAATCGTTATACTATTTAAGGCCAAAGCTTTTCAATTTACCCCTTCTTCGAATTTTCCTCGTAAGAATCCCATATCTTTTAATGATAATAGTTCGTTCCTAATAAATCGTATCTATAAAAATAAGAGTGGGTTAATAAAATTCAGAGAAGCATCATCATTTTTTTCCCAACCGATTCTAACTGTAGAGGATCGTCTACTGCCTTAGTAAAATCAAAAACCATGAATTCTCGATTCCGCAAAAGTTTTTTGGATTTTCTGTATATTATCGTACGATTGTATGAATGTCGTCTCTAGATCCACGTCCTCGAAATAGGCATAAATGTGAGATATTTTCACGAATAATTTTAGGTTTTTGTAAAAATTTGTAATTGTTCAAAAAAATTTTTTTTTTAAAATTGATATTTTAAAATAAAATACCAATTAAATATTAATAAAACTTTAATATACTATCTTTTATCATAAATAATATAATATATATGATAAATTATATTTAACAAGATTTTTAAATTTAAATTATTAAATATTAAAATAATAATTTCCTTTTTCTAATTAAAAGATTTTTTTTAAAGGATATAATAATAAAAAAAATTTTTGTTTTAATAATTTGTATTTTAATTTAAAAATTTTTTTTATAAAATTTTTGACTCATCCTATATATAAATAATAAAGAAATTGGTTTTTTTTTATAGATTTTATATAGTATAAAAATTATAATTTTAAATATAATAATATTTATTTATTTAATAGATTTTATAATAGATTTAGTATTCTATTTATTTTCAATAAAAAAACAATCTTTTTAAAAATTTTTTATTTTGAATGCATATATCGTCTTTCGTAGAACATCTGTAATATTAATGTTCTTTGATTTTTTCCTAGGAGCGGTGACTTGCGCATAAGCACTCGACGTTTTCTATTAATTAAACATATTAATTAATCTGATGAATCAAATAACGTAATAACGTATCTAAATTAAATGGCGTATCTAAATCAAATAACGTAATAACGGGTCTAAATTAAATAAATCCAATAACGTAATAACGTATCTAAATATAATAACGTATCTAAGTCTAATAACGTAGCGACGTATCTAAATCTAATAACGTATCTAACTACTAACGTGCCTAAACCAAATATAATCTTACCGAATACAAAGAACATATAAAAATAACGGGTACATTATTATTAACAACTTACAAGACTTACTCTGTTTGATTTAATTAATTCTTTTTGGTTTTTTATTTACTTTAATAATAATTTCAATTTGGTTAACAAATTAGAATTTATAAAAGGCAAAATAATTTAAAATTAAATTAAAAATGATGATAAATTTAATTTAATAAATTACATCAGTTTATTAAAATTATTAATTAATAAATAATAAGATACCAAAAAATATAAATAATAAAATTAATAATAGCATATTTGAAAATATACTGTTAAATAAATTTGTTTTTATATTCTTAGTAATATACAGTATGTTTAAATTTTTATTTTATTTTGTCAATTATTAATTGAATTGTAAATAAAAATATACAGTAAATAAAAATTTTATTTAAAAACATTTTAGGCAAACTGTATATATTTAATTTTTTGTTACATTTTATTAATTAATTGTTGATTTATAAATAAAATTAAAAACTAAAATTAGTTCAAAGACTTTTGAAACATATTACATATAGATTTAAAACTGGATATTTAATAAGATATCTAGTCATATATCAGAAAATTAAATCTATAGTCTTTTTAATCTAATTTGTGATTTCTTGTCCTTGAAATTGAATCCAATATGAATAAATAAAGTTAGTCTTTACTATGCATATCATATCCCATATACTGTAGGTTCAAGTCCTAAAGTCAGGCCAAAGCCTGACCCTCTGTCAAATATTTGAACAAGATATTTCTGGCACCGTTCGTGTCCCTATCCATCTCCACTTCGCACAAATCACATTTGAACATTTTTAATCCTCCGAGGTCATTCTTCACAAACCCAAAACACCCGCATGTCTTGGACATGTATTCCTCGGTGCACTCTTATGTTGTAAGAACATCTGGAACCTAAAATGCGACCAAGTCAGCATTGCGCGAGCAGTCTTCGACCAAATCTTTTTCTTATTCTTTAAAACCATTATTAAATTCTTGTTCAAAACTTGAAAACCTTGACATCTGATATTTGTATAAAGTTAAATTCGAATTTATGCGTATTAATCATACATATTAATTAATAAAAATATTATATAAAAATTAATATAAAAATATAAAAAAATTTAATTAAAACAATTAGTTTAATAAATATTGTGTAAACATTAAATATATAAATACATAACAAATAAAATATATTTTAATAATTTAAAAATTAATTTTATTTTAATTTAAAATAATGCTTCCTAGTTAATAATAAATTCGAGTTGAATAAACCCAGTGATCATATATATGTGTAATCGAATTGATTGGTACACTATTAACTGATCTTCATATACCCCCTACCAATCAACGATTAATTCGTTTCTTTTTTTTTTCACGAAAGTAAACATTATTCGTCTGAGTAAGACTCGGCTCTAGGAATAAAAAACCTAACGGCTCATCGAGTAGTGTTGCTTTTGATTTCTCCGTTTATTGGTTAACACACCGCGAACCTTTATCTCACCACGAACTACTATGATAGACACAACTAACTTGACCAATAAGCGAAAAGAAGAAGCTACGTTGGAGGAAACATCAACTATGAAAATGTTATCGCGAAATGCTCGCAAACGAAAAAATAAAAGGCTTAAGTGGGAACGTGAACACGGACACGAACACGAATAAAATGGACCTTCTCACGTACTAGAAGACGTAGCAACTAACTCTTCCACCAACCTTGACATTGTATTCGATTCGTCGAGGGTATATTTATTTTTATAAATTCTTATGAATCTTTAGATTCGAGGGTTCGGTTTTTGTGCTGAAAGGATAATTACCTAAGTTACTTGACACGAGTTTGCTTTAGCAAGTTGTGGAATTCAACAGGGCCATAATCATCATACTTCAACTGGAGATGATGACTCAGTGCTTTGGCAAGGGTAATTAGGCCGATCCGCAAAAATATGCAATCTTAAGTAATCTAAAACCTAAGAATAGAAATATTATACTTTTACTTTACCCATTTGCTTGATTATCGCTGACATTGTTTATCGGTAATATTAGCACCGAACCCAACATGGAACCAGAGAATTATGCACGCATGATAAAATCTATTACCTTGAAAGAGAATGGACGAGTGTCCCTATCAATTTCGAAGATTGTATATCATCTAAAAAAAATAAGACTTAACAAGCTGTTTCTACTCGAGATTTACTTATTGAAACCTTAATTAGAGAGGCAAAAATTAATAATGATGATTCCAATTTATCCGAGATTCCTTTAAGCTTTTTCACATTGGTTGATGTAGATATAGTTAGCAAGGTGGACGAAATAGATGCAGACTTACCGTCTATTACTGATAGTAACAATCGCTTATGGACTGCTTTTGGACGATGGTTGGGTTTCAAAGAGCCAATCAAGCGAAGGGAGGTGCGACGTCATCTTAATCATAAGTGGAGAAAACTTAGACATGCCCTAGACCTACGAAAAAATGTAAATTTTTCAATCACGAACATCAACCAAAAAAAGAAGACGCAATTAATTATATCAGCACGTACCGATTTTCGATCACTGGAAGGACTCATGCAATTTCGATATATAGTGAAACCAGAGTGTGTCATTGATAGTAGAAATAGAACCTTATTACATCTCGAAAAGTTAGATAATCCATTTGCAATCACAGAAGCCATAAATGCTGTCAATTGCTACTATATTCATATGCTGAATAACCCATCACATCGTAGCAAAGAATTTTGGACAAACTTCATTGAACACTTTGGAGTATACACACGAAATAATCTTCTTCCTTTCACCAGCTCAAACACCGCAAGCTCCCATAACGCCAACCATCGTGAATGTGTTAATGATCTCCTTCACGCTCTAAAGCCGTTGTCAGATTGCATCAATGAGTTTATTCAGTGTAATTATGTGAGGTTATATGAGAAACTATCCAAATTAAAGTAGGGACCCTTTGGACCTCGACCGTTCAATATTTTTCCCATGATTGCAATCAATTTTAACACGATTAGCGATTACCACTGGGATGAGAATGATGAACCAAATTCATTATGCTGCTTGGTTGCGTTGGGTGATTTTGAAGGTGGTGAGCTATGTTTTCCCCAGCTCAAAATTATCGTATCACTTCGTCCAGGCTATGTCATTGCTTTTTCCTCGCGTCTTTTGTTGCATGGTAACTTACCCGTGACGAAAGGTATCCGGCATAGTATCGTTTACTTTATCCACGATACCTTTTTCCATCACCACAGGAATTTCTTATACGTTTACAATGATCGTAAGGCTGAAATGGGAGGAGATGAATCGATCATTTCTAAGACCCCTCGTCAGGATCTTAATGATGCTCAAGATCTAAATAGTGAGATTAGATTTGATAAACCGAAAGCTAATCAGATACGAATCCCACCAGCATCATGCGATCGTAGACGAAACAATATTGGTAAGTAATTTAGATGGTATTGGTATATAAGTTAAAACAGATCTTAGTGTCATACTAGCTTCGCTAATTGAATATTTTCTTTAGACTTGAGACATGCCCGATGGGGTTTAAAGGCTGAGGATTCAATACCCGACTTGCGCGATTAATTTTTTTTATTATAACATAGATAGTGCTAAAGTCCATAAAATTCTTAAAAATTTTATTGATGAAGAATTTAGTTATCAGTCATTATTTGTCACACAAATCAGAGGGTAAATTTTTTCTTATAAAGTTCGAGGATCTGGGATGCATTTCAACGGTTCGAGAAGGTAAACACTTCTTTATGTATGCGTTTAAATTTAAATTAAAAAAAAGGTTAAGAATAATCTTGTCTACAAAGGTTATTCTTTATACAATATCAGTAGGAGTCGCATATTTTAGACGTCTTTCCCACTGCTTATTTGTTTCTGTTGCTAACTTTATATGCTTTCGTTCTCTATCACGTGCAAGACGCATCTCTCGTCTTCTGTATTCTCTTTTGTTTTTTTTTGCTGTTTTTATTCACGCTCCCTCGCAGACGTGTTTTGTGTTGATCAGGTGTTTCATTTTCTCTCGATTTACGTTTTCGTAAGGTGTCCCTGCTTATAATTGTATTGTTCATAGTTTATATTAAAGAAAAAAAACGATAGGAAAATACCGCAAATGCACTATACGAGAATATCACACTAACTAATTTAAATTTAGTAGGTAATAGAACAGAAAAATTGTGTTTGTTTTTTATAATAATTTTTAACGAAACTATTTTTTCAATGACGAAATATTTTATTACAAGTTATGTTTAATATATGTTGATAATTAATAAACTTCTGATGAGTAAAGAAACTTAGATAAAGCTTTTATAATTAATTAAACTTTGATACAGTAATAGTATCGGGAAACTCAGATGAAATATTATAAATGAGTTTTATTAACTATAATAGCATTAGCAACCTATAAACAACCATATTTCGTTATTTACTGTATATACATGTATTCGTTAATTAAACTTAAAAGAAAAACAGATTGACTATATTATTATTGACTATTTCGTTATTGTATATTTGTTAAGCAAACTTAAAAAAAATGTGGATTAGCTATATTATAATTCTTGGAATTATAACTTTTACTTATTTTTATTATCTATACGATAATTGTACAAAATTTTTTAAAAAAGAAGATTGGTCCTATTATTATTCTCGATATTGTATTACATAAAATAAGTAGTTTTGCGTATTACTTTAATATAGATCACTAATTCATTTTTATTTCGGATTTGGATTAACAGAGCTAGTTTCACTAATAAATACCACTAATGATTAGCTATGTAAATAATTTTTTATATGAGACGAATAGCCACAGTGTGACTGATTTTAGCAATTATAAAACGAATTCTAACCCCCCTCCACATTTGCCGGTGGTTTTTAACTGCTTGTATCAATATGAGAGGGTGGATTAGTATTTCCCACATTGGGATTGATCGTATCTACACTACCGGCATCATTCGTACCTCCCACACTAGTATCGACCGTATTCCCAGCATTGGTGTTGTTTGTATTAACATCACCACCCACACGCGTTGAAGGTGAATTGTGAGACGGGGAGGCTGATCTTCTCCGACTTCTTCGGCTTCTTCGATTATCTGATGATGTTTGACCTAATTCCTGTTCAATTTCCCCAGTAGATGGTGCGGGTGTATTATTCCTCCCAATTCTACGTTGCCTACGGTTTAAACTTTTTATATTACGAAGTCTATCAAAATCATCCTTAGGCCTCTCCCAAAAATGCGTGTGGAATTCATCAAAATATTGTGCCCCGTTCGCCTTCTTCGTGCTCTTCGATTACCTCCCATATAATCACACATCAACTAATTGTCATAAATTATTAGTCATGCTAGTTAAGACGTAAGCAAAAAAAAATCTGGAAAAATTTCTTACTATGTCGTACTTACGTTGTAATCCCGAACAAGATTCATAAATTTTTCTTTGCATTGATACCCATTAAAGCTTGTTCTATGCACTTGATTAATCCTGGTTGCAATGCTATTCCAAAATCCAATCCGATTACTTCCAAGATTATGATATTCGTCATTTCTATTTCTACGCTCATCAATAAGCATACGGATTTGAGCATCTGTCCATTCGACCATTTTTCGATATCTGGGGTTTAGGGTTAGAAAATTATGATTGTTATTTTAATACTAAAAATGTATTTTCTATGATTAGATCTAAAACTTACATCAATCAAGATATCAAATATATAAATCTGTTTCGGTTATCTAAAGTTTTAGATCTAATCATAGAAAATACATTTTTAGTATTAAAATAACAATCATAATTTTCTAAATAAGGACAGATGGTTTATTATAATATACCTTGGATGTCTATAATTTTTATGGCGATTCTTTTATCTACATTGTTCTTGATTCTGTAAAATGAATTGGTGCTCTCTAGGTTTGCATATTAAAAAATCTTTGTTTCTTTTTGTTAACCATTTATACAATTAATGCTCTTTGATAAACTAATCTCTTTCACCACATGAAACTGGAAATTCTTTTTTGTTCCGATGAACATAAATTCATGATTCATGTATTTCAAAACTCGGAGAATTTGACGTCAACCGGTAAAACGAACAAAATGGATAATTTTAGTGATTTTATGTGAATCGAATTATTTCAATAACTATTAGCATATATTCTTGCGTTATAGTTTCCGTTTCAGCGTCATCATACAAAAAAGTTCCTGAAATGCTTGAAAAAGATATAACCGACTTGTCATAGTGCCTGATGGATGTAGCAATTTTAACGTCTTCAGATGGGATGGCTATTGTACATATCTGATTTGAGTCGTAGTGTAGGTGACACATAATTCTTTCTTATTAAAAATTTAATTTCAATATAAGATATGGAATTTAGGGAAAGGTGTTCCCATGTCTGTATTTCACGGTCATCGCGGACAAATATTGTGTACTGCATGAAGCTTAAATGATGAATATCTGGTTTTCACGGGTGGAGGACGCTAATCGACAAGCCGTTAAGGTTATATAACCCTAGAGGCGCGTCCCACTCAAGAAGAATAGCATTTACTTTCGCGGAAAAAGAACTAAAAAATGGACAAGCAATCACGATGTCACGTGACTATTGATTTATCATATGAAAGTTTATAACACGGGCAAAAAAATGCGTTGGAACCTAAACAATGCATATATTACAAGATCTTCACGCCATTGCTGTCTACCATCTTAAAAGACATACTAAACTAACTTTGAGTTGCGAAAGTAGCAAATATACTAAATTCGCACACCAACAAAATTCGAAAAAAAACCACGCCCGATTACTTGAGCTAATTTTAATTTATCTCCTGTCACCACCCCTTTTATGTGTCACCTGGGAGAGTTGCTGCAGAGCAATGGGCTCTATTCCCTTGGTAATACAGGCCGCTCGATACGCGATGGGAACCTCTTTCTTCATTTTATCTTTCATCGTCTTGTCTTTTATTTTAGCCATATCAAATTGAGGGTCACCGATAAGAGCGACTTTACTTGCTGGAACCCATTTCCTATAAGTATGAGAGTAATTAGTAAAGCAAATGTTGATTTTGTCAAAAACATCTTTATAAATAGACACGTACCAGCTACGTCTTTTTCCTTTCTTTTCATCAAAGAAATGGACCAAGTAGTAATCACCCTCTTTTTTGTCATGCCTTATAGTTTCTGTGACCTCAGATCCATTCGGGTCTGCTACCTGAAGACAAATTCTATTTTAATAAATTAATTTCCACTTATCAACGAGGAAACGAGTGTCAGGATTCACACCTCAGCAGGGTACCAAGGAAATCCAGTCATCTTAGCCCACACCAAAGTTCCGTAGCGAATGTTTGGGTTTTCAATAACGGATGAGGTGGTAGAACCTTTGCGACTTGACTGCACCCATTCTACATTAGGTTCCATGGATGGGGATAGGTATTCTTTTTTAACTACCTCGTTTTGAACAGGGTCATCGTTTTTCTTTATATTATTACTACGAGAACGAGTCCGGCTCGCTGGTAATAAATAGAATATGATATTACTTCTACGTGTCGACCCAACACGATATCGTAAAATCATTATCAAAATTCAACATACCAGCTGGTCTTTCTGATTCCTCTTGATCTACTATCTGTATATTCTCAAATTGTTCTTTAATTGACTTATAATTTTCGTCAGGGGGCACTTGGTTTTGCTGTTCCTTTGCCAAATCTAAAATAAGTTCCTCCACCGCAATGGAAGATAAATCTTTGACTTTTGACTGTTTCGATTTTTTCTTTGTTGTTTTACTGGGGGGTTCATCTGGGTCCCTTAGTGATTTCTGGGGGCTTTCCTGGTGCTCGTTTACTATTTTGATCGACGAACCTGAGGTTTGATTATTTCGAGACCGTGTTCGTGAAGAAACTGTGGCTTTATCTTCGTTGACAATGTTAGAGGTATCACCGTCGCCAAGGCCATTTGCATCAAGTGTTGAAGCCTCGGTATTAGAACCCTCAGCAGCAGATTCATCTTCACCTTCATCCTCAGTGATATATGCCCAACCTTTCGGGGCTCTCGGCTTGTGTTCTGAAGAGTCCAACAATTTCGATTTTTTATTCTGATTACGCATACGTTTTGCTGCGGTGGTGGATCGCGTTTCTCGAGCTCGAGATTTACGAGAGGGACGTGACATTCCACCTGAACTTCGACTTCTTATTTTAATACGATTCGACCGAGAAGCAGGCTTATCTTTTTGCGGGAAAACCAAAGGTTTTGTATTATAAGTGAATATCTCTGGATGAATGGGGACATCCAAAATTCCTTTTTTGGGATCAACGTGTAACTCGGAATAATCCTTTTCAGCCTTTTCGACAATAGGCTGACATAGCTGGCGTAATTTTCGAGCAGTCCTATAATAAATTGTGTTAGACGTGTTGTAGGTCATGGCATTCTGGAAAGTCAATTCGAGATCATCCTAATAAATGAAAAAATCATATTTGAATCCTCCATTTTACAATTTTAACAATTTATGATGCTTTGCTTACCTTGAATCCTTGAAAACCAGAACCGAAACTATATTCATGAGCTTCCACCTTCTTTTGAATGGTACCGAAATCCATGGGATTTTTAATATGAAAATAATAGTCTGGAACTTCTTCGGCAGATACGGGCTTCGCGAATATATCATTTTTATCCAAACTATATATGATACAATGCATTTAGCATCTTAAGTGCAAAATGGCACGTCGATAGCAGCTGGTTGCAAGTGAAGAATACCTCATAATTTCCTCTATTACCGGAGAGAGGATATAATCAAGAGGAAAAAGTATGGTCTCAAGGTACTGAGCTTGTAACCTGTTTCTTTTTAGTTTAGCCTTCTCGCGCCTGTGCACACAATCGATCAATAACCTGACCTTTTCCAAATCTTTGCGGAGTTGCCGCATGCCCTACATAAAAATTCGCATTCGTTCATGAGGTTCATGCAAGTTGGGAAAAGTGAAATTCAAAAGAAATCATTTACCATAAATTTGCAGAATTTTTCTTTATCGGATTGTTTGTGAGCGGATGCAGAGGCGGTCCATGGCTATGTCGGATTATCAAAACAGAAAGATGTGAGTTGCACGATTAATTCATCTACGTTAGAAAATCACATATTGAGACATACTGAAACTCACCTCGAGATGAAGCCTCTTCAGCAGTGGCGCCCCCCGTCTAGATTCACGTTTCAGCGACCAGTATTTGCAAATAGTGGCGACGAGCTCTTGCTTTTTCTTCATAGAACCTTTTTGGTTTGCCAAAAATGGCAAAAGCTTTTCCATTATGATCGCCGGGGCAATAGGTGCATTCTCGGCATACGAATGATTGTATGCACGTGCTGCCTTGGAACTTTGACCTTCTTGCGATTTATTGGTCATCTCGTTCGTATTCACTGATTCCGGTAATTTGACCTTGATGGTCTTCCTTTGGTAAGATTCATGTTCCAAATGCTTACGTTTCCTATTTTTCCGAGAACCCAGTGCATCAAACTTCTCTTGTTCATAATTTTGTTCATCGAGTTCATCCTCCTCCTCTTCGGATTCACTAGGAATGTATTCATCCCCATCTTCATCGCCATCGGCGTCATACTCCACTCTCCGTTTCTTGGATACTGGACCGCATTCACTTAAGAGCTTTTGGGCAGTTAAAACAGTGGCGGCAACATCAACTTGTTCCTTGTAATCTCGCTAAATCGATATACAATGTAATTGAAGGAAAGCTATAAAAAAGAATCAGATAAAGTTTCCAACCAGGTTATCCATGTAATTAGCTTACCGGTGTATGCTTGTCGCAGTACGCCTTCATTTGATAAGATTCGTTGTGCGAATCTGGGAACTTCATCCTCATACAAAGTTTTGCCTTTCGAGCACAGGTGACATGAAAGGCCGTACAGCAATGTGCATTTTGGCATTGGATGCATGCCCCCATTTTTTTCTCGCAGATATAACATTTCTAAAGCGACAGAGATTCGGTCAATGAAAGTAAGTCGCTGAGCAAAGAAAATAAATGTCCATCTTACCAATCTCCATCGTCCGCGCGGGATCCCCTCGATATTGTCAATGGGTTCCATATAGACGGTGTTTGATAATCCAACTTCGGGAATCCATAGGGCACATAATAAATGCGCCCAGCGGTTCGTATTTGTTTTTTTAAATGCACCACCTTCATTAGGACAAAATATGCATGACTAAAAAGATGGTTTATATTATAGATTTTAGATTTACGATCATAAAGTAACCGTAACTATAAACAGAAGGACGCTGACCACTGGGGTTTCTGGTGAGACGATGCATTTACGGCATAGCCATTGACCTTCAGGAATATAAGGTATACCGTAGCAGTCTACGAGGTCGAATATAAGGTAAGTTAGATAAATTTCAAGCCAACAAGAGACAACCAAACTTTGTTACCTTGGTGAACAGCAAGATTGCAACCATCACAAAATACGATGGCGTTACTATTTTCGCACTCCCCATCATCACAGATGGCACAAGCAGAGTCTTCGGGGGTGAGACTATCCTTGTCTCCCTGACCTTTCGGTAGGTTTTTCGTCTGAATTATTATAAAACTGGTAAGAAGGGTCGTGCACATAGATCATAGATCCAATACAAGAATTCCACTTGCCAAGTCGAACCAAGCCTTCTCCAAGCGGTCAATCAATTTCTCAAAAAGATCGGTAGTGAGTTCGCCCAGATCCTCCTTTTTTCGTTCGTTATTGAAAGCTTTAAGCCAAATGTCGTCTTTTTTAATGAAGCACATAATACCAATACTATTAATACTACTGATAAATTGCAATCCGTGGCTGCCAAATTTATAAACAATTACCTTGTTCGTCCATATCGTACTCAACTCGTTCTGCAAGAATTCTTTCGTCCGGCTCTGATAATTTTTTTTTTTAAAAAAAATCTTTTTTAAATGATGCATGGAGATTTTAAATAAAAATATACGCAATTTTGATTGGAATGATGTTCACCATTATACCGTATATAATGCCCCTCAGGTCTATGATATGGCTCAAATTCCACCTTCCTGGCGTTGACACGCCTAAACGAGGGCATTGGAAGCCGTTTTACAGGAGCCGTTGCTACCGATTTTTCTTCGGTTTCCATAGGCCCCGAATTATCAGCGGTTTGCGTAGAACTCACATGCTTGCCATCTTGTATTGTTTCTGCCTGAATCGAAGTTGCAAGATTGACATCAACTTTATTATCATATGATTCTGATCGCTTTGAAGAAACCTGTTCAGTTTCAGAAGGTTGATCTTGTTCGTCCTCCTGAACTGTGTCTTCATCCATAAATTGAGGAGTAGTTCCAGAGGTCGAACACTCTTTTATGGATATTTGAGCGTCCTCAGTTTGCTGTTCGGACAGGTGAATCGTCTATAAAACGTTTGTTTACCAGCAAGTTTTTAAAATTTTGAACATTGAATTCGATTTGTGTCGGAAAAGCGTTATGCTAATATTAAGAATTACCTTTCGAAAAGTCATAGGCTTCGGAGTCTTATCGCCGGCATCGTTTTCAGACATTACATGAATAACCACGAGCTGTTCGTCTAGATCCAAGTCAGGAAAGAATTTTGTGTATGGAAGCTCTTCTCTTGGCGGCGGCTCTGGCTGATATTGTACCACAGGTTCCGATTCCTTTATTTCGCGGGCAAGGTCTTTACCCTTATTCTTATTACGTGCTTTATTGGCCTTGTCTGTTGATTTGATGCCCTTATTCTTTTGGGTACGCTTGTTGAGACCTCGTAACCCGTTATTTCGTGAAGATTTTATGTTACGGGTCTTGCTTTTATTTCGTGAGGAGGGATCTGCTGGTTCGGAGGAGCTCTCCCGAGTGGCGTTGACATCGTTTGACGAATCCATTTCTACCGAGAAATTCATGAATCCCTGCAGTGTAAACTTTTTACACAGGAACAAAGTTGCGCACCTTTTCTAATCGTCAAAGGGCTTTAAAGATGAGGAAATAAATAAAAAAAATAGTTAAAGGTGATTGAAATTTTTTGATCAGAAAATTCCGTGATTTAACTTTCTTAAAGAACTGGGGGTGACTAACTTTTGTTATTGAACTTGCCGTAACGTGTAGCAGAAGTCTTTTGAGTGAGTATAGATAAAGACAGCAAAGAGTATTGACTTCAATTACGACAGTCTTTTTTTTTTTTTGAGACAAATACCCCAAATTGAAAAAGCAGTCGGAAAAAAGAACTGTCAACGTCGTGTAACACAAGTAAACACGTGCCGTAAGTTTATTTCGCCATATGTCACAACCGTTACAAAAACGTAAACTTGGAGTAAAAATCGGCCGCACCAGACCCTTGCACCGGTTGTGCCTATTGAGTCGACTAGAGTTTCACCATTTGTTTTCTCTGATTTCCCCGACGACTAACTTGATTTTTGCTTTTCAGAAACGACGATTACGTTTGTTATGAACGAAGTTCACTACACCCGATGAACCAGACGATAAATTGTCAATGACGATTCCCCTGATCAGTATAAAAGATGCACAGCGGATCTGGGAGGAGATCGCAAGAGCAACCAAAAGCGTTGCAGCGGAGACCATTAGGAGAACGCCCGAAGTTAGCGACTCATATACAGACAAAGAAAAGAATTGGGTGTCAGTAAAGACATTCCATGGGACAGGGCACAAGGATTCTGTGGAATGGGTAGAATCGTTTGAAAGAGCCACAGACACGAACAATTGGTTAGCAAAAAGACGGGTCCAAATCGCAGCTGGGTACTTGTTTAGGATCATAGGAAGCTGGTATGACGATAACTGGTCCACGATGGAGCACTGGAACCATACCGACCGAAGCTTCGTACTTAGGTTTTCGCCATGCCAGGAAAAAGACAAGATGGTAGGCAGAACTCAATGCACTGGTGCAGTGAAATGACAAAAGAGCAAATGCTTACACATATGGATTCAAGTAACTATTAACCTTGAGCAACACTTGCTGGCAAAGTACTTCGTGCGAATGTTCACTGGCAGTTTGAAAGGAAAGATCGCCAAGTTTATACCATTGGTCGAACCCAAAATGTTGGACGATGTCATTAAAGGAGCACGAAGAATAGAAGCTGGAGAATATTATCAAAAACGAAGAGACGAAGACGAACTTACCAAGAGACTGCTTGACGACCTGGCAAAACAAGTACAAGAAATGTCATAATGGAAAAGGAGAACGTCTGAAATCAGAAGTATCGATTGGCTGGATGCTTTAATTGCGGAGAGCAAGGACATAAGGCATTCCAATGCCTTATGGGATCATGAGATCTAGCACGACCAATGGATACAGTATTAAATGGCCCTGGTGTGAATTTCTGTGAAGTGGAAGAATATGAGAAAAATGAGATGTATGTTGCGACCTGAATTCGATCTCAACCATACGTCATGAATCTGAAGAAGGAACCGAAAAAAAGAGAAAGAGTTAGAGTGGAATGGAATAATAAAATGAGAATTGCAATGTAAGAAGCCTTGCCTGAAGAAACGAAACTCATCTTGCCAGCCCTAATAAATAATAGTGCCGGGTTGCTAAGAAACCAAGACGAGATTCAAATGTTTAGCGACAATAAAGAGCCTTAGATGAAACGGAAAGAGACGGATATCCGATCGAAATATTAGACAAGTATTACAATGGAGATATACCAACAGAAGTACCAGGTGAAAAGTTAGAACTCACCTGTGATGTGACACCAACGCCGAGAAATAATACCGAATTGTGGGAGAAGCCTTCATGTCTGATAAAGAAAATGATCACATTAGTGAGATCCTGAGAATACGCTTGGAAGACAACAAACTTACCTACGACGATGCATTAGCCCCGAAGAATGCCAGTGCCGGAATTTTGAACACGACACTAACCCTCGATGATGGAGGAGAGGCCCCGAACGAACTAGAGAAAGATGAGTGGCTTGATAGAACTAGGTCATCAAAGGATGAAGAAAGAGAAGATGAGATCGGGAAAATACCAAAGAGTGAAGACATGACTGGAGAAGATGGTAATCCGAAGAAATTTTACCACCTGCAGAATGCTATGATCAAGCGATATAACTTGCCGGACAATTGGAAGGATTCTGGATGACTCACGTATAATCGAAGCCAAGAAGATAACGTCAGAGACCATTATAAGAGTGAGAATGAGCAGACGAACACAAAAACAGATATCATAAGGACTAGAGAAAACTATCTACCTCTAAATATCGATGTATCCAAGATAGATCCAGGTGCATCAGTGATTCTGGCTGGTTAATAATTTTATGTCCGTTTAACTGTTTTTTAATTATTTGTCATTAGTGTTCCGAGTGAGTCAATTCTGGTCAGATTCGGGTTATATGTTCTGAAATTTGATTGGTTATTATAAGTGTTATTATCATGGGTAATTTTTTTGTTAGATATTGAACACCTTTATTTTGTAAGTGATTCTTGTGGCGATTAAGTTCTAAGTTTTAAAACAATATAGATCCAGCTGTTTAGAAGACTTGTTAAATTTTTTTCAATCAAATTTTTCAGGAACATTTATTTTTCTGCTAGAAATTATCAGTTTCGATTTTTTTATTAACTGCATTAACAAAATTACAAGTACATTCAATAAATAACAATATTAGTAATATTATTACAAATACAGTAATTTGTTGTAAACAGTATTATTCTTTATAATAATAGGCTAAAGCAAAGTATAATACTATTTTACAAAATATTTGAATTTTAAAAATACTAAAAAACTAATAACTATTGCAAAGTTATATACAGTGTGGGACAAAAAAAATGTCAACTAATTTTATTTATAATTTAATAAATAACTTTAAAACTTAATATAAAAATTTATAAATATGTTTTTTTAATATCTAAAAATAAATTTAAAAAAATTATTTTATTAATATTTTATTAATTCCATATTAAAATTTTTATTTTTTAATAAAAAAAAATTTTGGAAAATTTTAATTATAACTTTTTTTATATTTAATATATATACAGTGCCCCCCAATAAATGAAGGACCACTTAAGAATTATTAAAATTAATTGGAAATAGTCTCTATATATCAAACTTTTTATTTTATTAACAAAAGCATATTTTATGTATTAAGTAAACATGTTCCTCA